CTAATGGGACTCATAACCAATGCACATATAAGATAGGAAAATCAAAGAAGTAGAATTGACAGTTTAAAATGACATCCATGTGTCTCTCCAACATTCACAGGACATCACCTTTCCATGAACTTAATTCTGTTGGGCAGTAATAGCACTCCTAATTTTTTCGGTAGTCTTTTCATTGTAGTTTAAGAAACCCTGGTGAATTCTTTTTACTTCATTGTTTCCCAATTTCTTATTCTCATTTTTACCTGTCTTAGCTTTTGTCTCTTGACCACTCCCTTTATCCCCAATTACCACCTTCAATTTATGTAGAATTTCTCCCCATTTCTCTTCTTTCTCAGCTCACATGAAGACATTCCATGAGATTCTTTTTCGCATCTTCCTCATTGTAATAAGAACTCAAGAGCCAGGAGCCTAGAAAAACAGTGATGCCATTCTTTCTATTCCCCACTTAAATTTCATTATTCCCTTGTTTCTTCCTTATAATCAAGCTAATTTAATTTTTGTAACTTTGTGTGGAGGATCTTTCTTATAATTTTTATTTGTTCAGTAGTTCTCAAACTTCGAAATTCATTCCTGATGCTTCTTTCCTGATTTGTAAATGGGAAGCAATCTCTTCCTCAAGTGAATCCAGATAGCAGTTCAACCATACTCTGCTACATGCACACATCACTTCTTACCCTGCATTACAGTTACTTAGGTCTTTCTTCTCCTTACAGTATTTAACTCTTTTAGGACATAATCATGGCAAAGGTGCTTTTCTGTGTGTAATATAGGTTTGGTGACAATCAAACCAAAATGAACAAATAAAAAACATATCCAAGTTGAATTAACTGTTGTGTTGTTACTCTTTTTTACTATATTTATTCTGGACATTGTTGTAGTATTTGAAATATTAATTCTTTCCTTCATGATTAAATGTGTTTTACTTGGCCAAAAAATTTCCCACTCTTTTTGCTTCCTCATGTTCTCCCTAAACCCTTAAAGAAAAATGCAGCATTGCCCCTTGCCACATTTATTTTCTAAACACAGTGAGCTAACTCTTTTCTACTTGTCACAAACACAAAAGGAAATAGAATGTACAGGCCATTGTGAAAGGGAGTGGTTTGTCACTGAATGATCAAGAAAAAGAAGAAAGAGAGCTGGTCCTCAGAATTAGTGTGGGATCAAGGCAAGGGATATAAACAGAAGACAAATTTCCCAAAGGGTGGTGCTGTCTATGATATCCTTCCCTAGACTTTGGTTCCTTTTAAGTTCTGCTTACTAATTTAAGTAATATTTGTTAAGTACTGAGTATGAGACAGGCACATACAACTTGTAAACTGGTGGGGGAGAAAACAAACCAAGATTGTACTACCTACTTGAGTTGCAATGTTTACTTCTTCAGTCTGTCCATGTCCTTTTTACTGGTTACATTATTTTTGTTTCTTTTTAAAAATTTTGAATCAACTTTATGGACATATAATTTACATATAATACAGTCTGTCTATTTTAAATGTACAGTTCTGTTCATTTTGACAAATGTTCACACCCATGTAAATATGGCTCCTCTTAAGATATAGAACATTTCTATTCCCCCAATACCCTTCATACTCATTTATAATTAAACCCACTGCCAGCTGGGCATCCTAACAATTTTTATATGCCTTGTGCTAGTTAAGCTTAGATTTATCTTTTCTATAATTTTATTAAAATGGAATAAATTCTATGTATTCTTTGTATCTGGCATTTTCCCCCACCAGCATATAGGTATAAGTCACTCATGTTGCTTATGTGTGTTTTGTTGTCTATTCTTTTTTATTGCTCAATAGAACTCCGTGTATAAATATCCTATAATTTTTTTTAATCCATTCACTCTTTGATGGTCATTTGATTTGTTTCTAGTTTGAAGCTCTTCAAATAAAGTCATTATTATTGTTTTGCTTTAAGTGTGTTTTTTTGTTTGTTTGTTTCTTTGATCTTTTGTTTAGTTACCTGCCTAGACAAGTTCTGTAGATTCTGGATGCCTTGCAGTTTGTAATCACCAATGGTTTTGCTTCTTTAAAAAAAAACTATATAGAACTTTTTCTTTACTTCCTCCCTTCTTTTCTCCCCCTCCTTCTCTTTCTTTCTCTCTCCCTCTCTTTTTATCTACTATTCTCTTCCACTTCCGCCTTCCCTCCTTCTCTCCCCACCTCTCCACTTCCCACCTTTTTTTCGTTTGTTTCTTCATTCTCTTTCTTTTCTGGCTTCCCGAGGGTCACTCCTAAGTCAACATAGCATAGTGGTAGCCAATGATTAGTCAGAGGTTGTGCCTTTACATCTTAAATTGGTAAGGTTTCCATCTTTTGCTGATGGAATATGTGTGGATTAGAACACATATTTACCATTCAAGCAGTTTAAAAATCTGCCCTGGTGTCTGCTTTTTCTATACACAAGTTCTCATGTTTGGCCAGGTGTAAGTACATATTGTTGCCCTCTTTGGTGTCTCCTTAGTTGTGTGCATCTTTCAAACTTCTGGAAACAAGTGGAAGCTTATCAAAGTCCACTATGGCTATCTCGTTTCCCAAATATCTTTGTTAGGTTTTGGCTGGTCTCTTCTTCACTTCAATTAGTATTTACAGCATCAAGCAGCTATAAGTTGACCTTTGATTTTTTTCCCACCAATTGCTATTGTTTTCTGCAACTTCCCTGGGCATCAGGCCTCTCCATGTGGTTCCAGATTAGATATACCCTTCTGCAACAATAAGACTGTTGATCTTCAGCCTGTGGTACCACCAAGTCAGGGGAGGGATGAGAGCAGCCTCAGGTTAACTTGCCACCATTGTTTTTGCTGAGATTCAGGTAGTTCTTGAATAAGTACTTCTCAATCTGCTGTATGTCTTTTGGTTATATGAATTCTGAAATGGTTTATTCTGAAAATTTTGTCCAATATTATTATTGATGTTTGGGAAAAGGATTTTCTGAGCTCCTTAATCTGCCACCCTGGATTGTCTGCTCCATGCAGACTTTTTGTAACATTATAAATCAAACAAACAAGAGTTTCAGTTCCTAAAAATTGAAAGCAAATGCAACAATGAAAATAACTACTTATCAAGTTGGTGACATACCATAAGTCAGGGACTGTTTCATTTGAATTTAAAGCATAACAATTTGCTTATCTCCAGGGGATATACCCTAGTATCAGAAAATAAATTTTAAATTGTTTTTAATAATTATATTGTTGATGGTAGTGTTACTCTAAGACTATCATGCATGTATAGATTAGTGGGATATAGTATATAGTGAGATTAAGTGAATTCATAATTGTGTTAACATATTGGGAACAAAAATTATCACATGGGAGAAATTGATATGAAATAGATGAGTAAAACTCTGTAGTTCTAAACTTGAATCAGAAGCATAAATATGGTTCATCATAACATTTCTCTTTAAAAATATGTTCTGGCCACTTAAAAAGTCCAGAGACCAAGACTAACCTAGGGTTCAGATAATGATTTCTACATAATATTTTTTCACTAAAAGGAACCAAGACAACCTTAGAGAAAAGGAATGAAAAGTCTGGAACAATCTTACCACACCAAAAAGTAATGGAGAGCTCAAAAATGAAGTCATATTGAAAGAATTCAGAAGCAGCTGACTTGATAGAATCCCATGTCACTTGTGGTACAGCTTGAGCCACAATAAAAAAAAATATGGCTCAGTTATAGAGTCAAGCATTTCAAATATGTCAAAGTTCATAGGTATGCAATAATGCAAAAAATAATTCATTAGTCACCTAGGAAGCTATATAAACAATTCATTCTCTTGAAAAATGGTAAATAAATGGAAAGAATCAAGTATTTATTCTGTCTTTTGTTATCTCAGGATAAGAGATAGTTATTTAGGATAAAATAGCTCTTAAAAATATTCTAACTAATAAAGATAAATAATAAAGAAAGTGTAATACCTTTATGTATTCCCTAAAGAAATACCTGATTTTGGTTACTTGTTTCAGGGTGTGCTCAGGAATAAAAGGGAGTTCCTGATATCCTTTCAGAGGGTCCATGAATTCAAAACTATTCTTATAGCAATACTAAGATGTTATTTTAGTGTTCATTGTTTTCCAGAGACTATACGATATTGCATGTACTATTGCATAAGTTTTTATTCAAAAACAGGTATAAAATATAGCTATCTTCTAGTAAGTCAGATGTTAAAGAGAATTTCAAAACTATTTTAAAATGTTTTAAAAGCTACAAAGTCACTATATTTTGGGGGGATTAGTAAGGATATTATTTTTAATACACATTCAGTTTGTTTCATTTCAAGTTAGTTAACAAATACACATTTAAAATTTTTATTAGTTTTTACTTCTGATATAGTATAGTATTTATCATCTATCTATCATCTATCTATCTATCTATCTATCTATCTATCTATCTATCTATCTATCATCATCATCATTTATCTATTCTATCTAAAATTCCAACACTCACACTTTGCTGGTGGAAATATCAAATGGTAGTGCTTCTACAGAAAACAGTTTCGTAGTTCCTCAAATACTCACATATTGAGTTAACCATTTGACCTAGCGATTCCACTTTTAGGTATATTCCCAAAAGAATTGAAAACAGATATTTAAACAAATATTTGTACACAAATATTCATAATTTTACTATCAACAACAGTAAATAAGATTAGGAAGACAACCCAAATATCCCCCAATGAATAAATGAAAAAAAACAAAATGTGCTATATACACACAATGGAATATTATTCAACCATTAAAAGAATGAGTGATACATGAGACAATGTGAATGCACCTCAAAAACATTATGTGAAAGAAATCAGACACAAAGGACACATATCTTATGATCCCATTTATATGAAAAATCCAGAATAGATAAATCCATAGAGACAGAAAGAGTATTAGTTAAGAGAGGCCTGAAGTGGAGGAGAAATGGGAGGAGTGACTGTTTAATGGGTATGGGATATTCTTTTGGGGTCCTAAAAATGTTTTGGAAGGTGTTAGACCTGGTAGTTGCACAACATGCCACTAAATTGTAAACTAAATTGTACTAAATGCCACTGAATTGTAAACTTTAAAATGATTAATTTTATGTTATATTTCACCTCAATAAAAAATAAGTAATTATGAGATATTCACACTATAATATGAAACTCCAGAGTCTAAGGATAAGATGTTTCATTAGAAAAGAATGAAAGAAAAGATGGAAAATCTTTGGAGATAAAAAGTTGCATACAAAGTAATATCAAATAGTGTGATAGACGTTTCCTCATCAACAATAGATACAAGAAACAATAAAGTAGAATTTGACACTAGAATTTGAAATCTAGATATACTTGGACATATATCTGCTATTCATCCATATGGACCATACTATATGCACTATTTTAAGTTAGACAATAGCAATAAATAAATAAATAAATAAATAAATAAATAAATAACCTACAGGAGTATCACAAAGTCAAAAAAAAAAACAGTTTGGATTAAAGGATCGATAAGGCAAAAATGCAGTGGTTTTGCCTATTGGACTATCTTAAAGGTTTAAATCCCTCCAAATAACTGGAGAGGCAGGTAAATTTTCACTGTAAATATAGCCTTTACAGATCAACTTTGAGGTTCTTTCCAATTCTGAAGTATCAAAGAATCCTGGACAAAATTAAGCTAATTAATGTTCCTGAGGTTAAAAAAAAAAAAAAAAAAGTCTGTGCACTCATTTCCAAGTTTGGGAAAAGGTGGGATAAAGATGAGAATTTGGAGGGTGAAGAGGTAGTGCAGAGCTACTACAGATTAGTAACAGTAGGTACTCAATAAATACCGTTGATAAAATGAATAAGTGCATAGAATGTATAAGTAGGTCAAAATATACATCACTGTGAATCTATTGTTAAATTTTATTACTTGGTTAAAATAACAAAATTTAAAAAAAAAGAAGAAAAGGAATAACATGGAGAACCCACTTGCTTCAGTTTCCTCTGCTTAGTTTAGCATCTTTAGGTACTGTGACCACTGCTCAGACTAAAGGATTGCATACAGTAGCAGACCTCAGACAACCATTAGATACCAGCTTAATTGAGCAGCTAGCTACCTTATACTTCAGTGGAAGGTCTTCCGTTGACCTCAGGTCTGCAGAAATCTTACTTTTGGATCCAAGGCATGTGTTTTCTTTACCTTTGGGGTAGAATGTTAGGGTATTTGTTGTATTTCTTATTGTTGGGTACTTGGGGGAATCAGAGGTAAATTTTTACCTTTTAATTCCTACTCTCTCTTACTCTACTTTTTACCAGGAAAGGCAGGACCTTGTCTTCTGAGCCTCTTGATTGGAGTAGTCTCAATTTTTAAAACATTTGCTTCCAATCATGCTTGTGTTTGGGAGGCATAAGACATTTGAGAGAGGAATCTTTATAGTATTAGAGTGGAATGGCTTGTGTAAAATTAAGTTTTAAATGTTCCTCTTTTTTTGGCCATTATCTTCATGTCCTAGTGAGTATATTTAGTACCTGTAGTCAGGTCTGCAACCAAGCATTAGATAATAATGGTGTTGGCAAAGGTACGATGAGTATGAGTGCATTCAATTGTCTGACTCCCTGAAATGTGGGCTGCAGTTCTCAGAATCTCTGGTGCTTTTTGATTCTCAGTGCATGTCTCTCTTTAAATGTACACCAAGACACTGTGGGCACTTACAGTGATCCATTTGGCATCATTTTCAAGGTTAACTGGTTTACCTCTCTAGCACTGCCACATCACCGTCAGTGGTATATTTGGTCTGTGTCAAATGAATCTACAGAATCTATATGTCAGTGAATCTATAGTATAACAAATAAACTGAATCTTGGGTGTTCTATCCAAAACTCAAGGTTTACAAAGAAAAGAAAAGATGTTAACATCAAAGGCAGGTAATGTTAAGTCTCTGCTGTTGTCTGTGACTGTTGTACCAAAACTGAATAGATTATATCATGTACTGAATTATGAGAACATTGTTTAGATTTATATGCTTTGCAATTTAGAGAGTAATTCTGGACTTTATAATGAGGCAGTGATAATCTTGGATGAAGGCTACTCTTAATAATGTGAACAATTTATTTCTGGGAATAGAGAATGTTACATTACTTATTTTGCCGTTTCTTATATATGTGAATAACATCAGTTAGTGAAAACTCTTTACACTTGGAATGTTTTGCTACCTTATTTCTAATAGATTATCTGTGCAAATTTGTCATTTTTTTTTCCTGAATGGAGAAAATCCAAGATATTAATACTTAAAGTCAACATTGATTGGAGTCCAAATATTTTACTCAGTGGATGCTAAATATATTGTTAAAACCTGCCAAGGGCATACTAAAAGAAAATAGATGACATCATAAGACAAATAGCTCTGAACTTTTGGTGAAAAAAAAATGAGATCACTGCTCACTTCAGAATGGTTTATTTGGTGATAGGAAAGGCCAAAATGTAGATTGAGGCTATGAGATATTACATAAGGAGAAGGAGGTTCTATTGCTTATAAACTTTCTACAAAAAGTTAATTTTGACATGTTCTGAAGCTACACATAACATAACTTTCAAAGTTTTGCTTGTCTCATGAAGATTTGTTGCTCAAACCTTCAAAGGTCAAGAGCTACTGAAAAGAATGTCATATACTAGTAGCAAATGTAACTTTCCTTCTCAAAACTTGCTATGACATAAGACAATTTTATTTGGATTATAATCTGCAATATTTATCACATTTGATTCTGGCATTTGGGTCTGTACCACTATAGTCCAGATGATTTTTTGTTGTTGTTTTGTTTTATATTTTACACAGTATTTGAATTTATTTATATGGAGTTCTGGAACAAGCAAAACTAAACTATGATGACAGAAATCAGTGGTTGCCTGCATGCACGCGCACGCGCGCACTTGTGTGTGTGTGTGTGTGTGTGTGTGTGTGTGTTGGGGGTTGGGGGTGACAACTATAAAGAGTGATAAAAAACTTCTATACTTTGTTTTACATGCTGGTTATACTTGTAAAAATTTATCAAAATATGAATTTTATTATGTATACAAATGTGTTATTGCTTTATGATAAACAAAATGTGGTGAGTGAACTGACTAACTACAATCTTCCCTTTCCTGTCCCTCTTATTTTTCCCATCAGAATTGAGAAATCCACCACCTTCTGGTAACTCTGGCATGTTAAGAAATGTAAATTGAGTTTAATTGCAGAAAATGTAGTATGCTATCTAGACGATGTTTTAAATGCTCTTTGTAAATGATTGTCAACACATACACAAATACATACACTCACGTGATCAAGAATGTGGGATTAGGGAGACAAGACAGAGCAATGAGGGAAGAAAGAAGAGCCACTGGAAATGTGGAGAAGAGGTAATGATAGAGTGCCAGAAAAGAGAGAACCATGGGGAGGAAGGTCTATTTGGGTGGGTCAATCAAAAGAATCTTTCTAGATTAAAGTAGGCTAGAAGCAGAACAATTATTTAATATTTAACAGATGTTGCAATAAAGGATTAGGGAGGTGAAATAATTTTTTAGGATCAGATGAGAGCTTTTTCAAGTTTGTAAGTATGAAGAAAGCTGAGGTCAGGAAGAACAACTGGAAGCCAGGGAGATTAAAAAAAAAAAAGTCTGGAAATCAAGGGCTAGAGTGGAAATGAGAAGCAGAGAGGGAGGCCCAGGGCTGGGGGAGGTACAATTTTTCTCCAATGTGCAACGTGGATGAGGAGCATATTTGTCAGTTGGAAGAGAGAGGAAGTTACTAAAGAGTATTGAGAAAAAGGTTTGCTGAAATCAGAGATCATTCGTGGGCTCTTAGGAGTCAGAAGTTCTATCTCCCAGTGAAATGCTGCCTCCGTCACTTCTATTGCTAGCAGTTCTCATCTCAGGTGGTGACAATGAGGATGGTAAGAGTACTCTGGCAGCCCCCAGCATGGGTGTAGGGGGTCTGGATAAAAGCATGCTGCACTTACCCCTATGGTTCTGGGTCCTCCTGTATCCAGCCCTCCTCTCGTTCTGTAGGTCGGGGATGGCTTCTGAGGCCCTGCACAGGCAAATGTCTCAGGATTTATTTTGTTCTTCAGACTTTGGGTTCTTTTGCTCTAGATCTTTTCTGTTTTCATTTTTTAAAAAATATTCCCTCCTGCTTCTTTTCTCCTCACTTTTTTTTATCCTTCTACTACCCACAGCTTTCCAGGGACCAACTTCTTTCCATGTCATTCAGATATCATCCTTTGCCAACAGCACCTGGGCACAAAATCAAGGCTCAGGCTGGTTGGATGATTTGCAGATTCATGGATGGGATAGTGACTCGGGCACTGCTATTTTTCTGAAGCCCTGGTCCAAGGGCAACTTCAGTGATGAGGAGGTGACTGAGCTGGTTGAGCTATTTCGAGTCTATTTAATTGGATTCATCCGGGTAATACAGGACCACGTCAGTGAATTCCAGATGAAATGTGAGTGCAGTCCTCAGATCTGGGGAGCTTCTCGTTGAATTTTTTTTTTCTCTTGGTTTAGACTACTATTCTCCATGAACTTTCTCCCCTCCTCACTTTACCCAACTGCACGCACACACTTCTCTAAAGTAGTCTCCAGTCAGACTTCATTCCAGATTTTTCCTGCTTCCTGCATTCTTGTCTGATAAAGATATCCTTTTGTAACCATCTCCTGGTTTGTTTGTGTATAATTTTTTTTTCTCTCAAACCTTAAGAAAGAAGTCCTCTTTTCTTACACTGTGCTTGAGAAAACTATAGTGTGACTTCCTCCCCTTCCAATCCATCTCCTCAAATATCTCCTGCTTGATCCCTCTTTTCAATGAAATTCTCCTGTTCACCCTGGAATGTTGTACTCCTGACTTCATCACCCTGCTTCTCACACTTTGAGCCTCTTCTCCCTTCTTATCCCTTGTATGTCATTACAATAGCCCTTCTCTAGCATTTTTGACATGCATACTTCTCCCCTATGCTCTTCTTTCTAGAAAGTCTCTGAATACAGTCATGCACCACTCAATGACAGAGATATGTTCTTAGAAACATATTATTAGGTGATTTCATCATTGTGCAAACATCATAGCATGCACTTACACAAACCTAGATTGTATAGCCTATTATACACCTAGGCTCTATGACATTGCTTATTGCTCCTAGTCTATAAACCTGTACAGCATGTTACTATATAAAATAATGTGGAATTAAATCAAGCACAAGAGGATATAATGCAATCAAGAGACACATGAGATGTATGAAATTACTGCCAGTGTAACACAGCACACTGTTTTACAGCAAATGTGTTTTTTTTATAAGTAGGAAGAGTATACTCTAAAATAATAAAAAGTATAGTAAATACATAAACCAGTAACATAGTCATTTATTATCATTATCACGTATTATGTACTGTACTTTGTATGTGCTATACTTTTATATAATTAGTAGCATAGTAGATTTGTTTACACCAGCATCACCACAAATATGCAAGTAATGTTTTGTACTATGATGTTATGATGGCTACAGTGTCAGTAGGCAATAGGAAATTTTCAGCTCCATTATAATCTAATGGACCACCATTGTACATGTGGTTCATTGCTGATTGAAATGTTGTTATGCGGCATATGATGGTACTGAGTTGGTTGTTGGCTCATCATTTCACATCTCAGACTTTTCTCCCCACAAATATCCAACACCCTAGGTCTTTCTCCCATTCATTTCTTTCTTGTTTGCATTTAATAACATTTTCTCTGATTTCCTTCTATCCAGACCCCTTTGAGATCCAAGGCATAGCAGGCTGTGAACTGCATTCTGGTGAGGCCACAGTAAGCTTCTTGAGGGGAGCTTTAGGAGGACTGGATTTCCTGAGCTTGAAGAATAATTCGTGTGTGCCTGCCCCAGAGGGCGGCAGCAGGGCACAGCGATTCTGCACGCTCATCGTTCAGTACCAAGGTTTCTGTGATATCGTAGAGAAGCTCCTCTTAGAAACCTGCCCTCGATATCTCTTGGGTGTTCTCAATGCAGGGAAGGCGGAACTGCAGAGGCAAGGTTAGTCCTGTTCTCTCTTCAAGACCTTTCTATTTCACTTCCCACCACCTTCTTTAAATTTAAGATTAGATGGTAAATAAGAAGAGAGGGGTTTAATCAATAAATGATTTGGTTTCCAATGGTTTTTTGAGTACCTATGCTCTAGATTAAAGCCATAATCTGGCACTGTCCCTTCTCATCCCTGCTACAGTAAAGCCCGAAGCCTGGCTTTCAAGTGGACCCAGTCCTGGGCCTGGCCGTCTGTTGCTGGTGTGTCATGTCTCAGGATTTTACCCAAAACCTGCATGGGTAATGTGGATGAGGGATGAGCGGGAGCAGCCAGGAACTCAGCAAGGTGACATCCTTCCCAATGCTGATGAGACATGGTATCTCCGAGTAACCCTGGATGTTGTGGCTGGGGAAGCAGCTGGTCTGAATTGCCGAGTAAAGCACAGCAGTCTAGGAGGCCAAGACATTATCCTTTACTGGGGTGAGAAAGAACTGGGGGCCAGCTGTAAATGGGAGAGGATGATCCTCAGGCATTGAGGGAAGGACTAGAAAAATGATGAGACTTAATGGAGAGAGAGAGGGAGATGAGAGAGAGAGAGAGAGAGAGAGAGAGAGAGAGATTGGAGATGCCTAAAGTATAGAAGAGGTAAGAATAAAGAATCTATAGATTGTGTGAGATAGGGCAAGAGAGAGAGACAGAGGATGGATATGAACATATGGTGTCAGGAAATATGATAGAGTTACAGATACTCATACATCAGCAGTAGGTGAATAACAGTTCTGACACCCAGATGGGCAAAGGAAGCTCAGGAGAATTAGAGAATGAGTTTTGAAGTGACATACTATGTCTTCCCCCAATTGCCAGGAAGCCCCACCTCCATCGGAGTGATATGTTCAGCAATAATAGTGCCTTCCTTGATTCTTTTGATATGTCTTGCATTATGGTTTTTGAGGCGCTGGTGAGTTTTCTAAAATTTTATCTTTTTTGTCTACTTTTCATTCTTTTACATCACTGTATCTATTTACATCACTTTAGCCTCTTTCTACAATACCTTTTCCCCTTTCTCCTCAATTTCCATCTTTTTAATATAAATCTATTCTTTAATTGTGGTAAAATATACATGGCATAAAACTTACGATCTTAACCATTTTTAAATGTACAGTTTGGTAGTATTAATTACACTTTATACCCATTAAACAACATCTCCTAAATTTTTGCTCACCCAGACCCTGACAACCAGCATTCTACTTTCTGCTTATATAAATTTGACTGTTCTGGATACCTCATATAAGTGGAATCATCAATATTTGTCTTTTTGTGAATGGATTATTTCATTTAGCATAATATCCCTATGGTTCATTCATGTTGTAACATGTGTCAGAATTTCTTTCCTTTTTAAGGAAAGCTGAATAATACTCCATTGTATTTATATAACATATTTTACTTATTCATTCACCTGTCAATGAACATGTATTGGTTCTACCTTTTTTGCTTATTATAAATAATGCTGCTTTAAAGTGGATGTACAAATATCTCTTACATAGAGCTAAATTTGCTTGTGTTCTTAACAGGTCATATCAGAATATCCCGTGAGCTTTCATCATTTCTCATTAATCATTTGGAATAAGTACTCAGAAGACCAGAATCTCAAGTTTTTGGCCCAGGAGTCAATCTCATCATATTTAATCAAATAATCATCATATTTGATCAACTCAGAGTTCTCATAGGTTGTGAAATAAATCGTAATTTATACACCAGCAGAAAAATAATTAAGGACTGTGAATTTATTATGAGATTTTATCAATACTAGAATCCACTCAGATTTTATAGATGTGAAATGTGAAGAAGAATGTATCTCAGAATAAATAAAATAAAGTACATATGGTCTTACTTTTTTGCAACTTTAAAAAAGTAAAACCATCTTACAATTTTACAACTTTATAATGGCGTAAAAGTGATACACAATTCAGTAGAAATCATACTTTGAATTATGATTTTTTCTGGGCTAGTGATATGATGCTGGGCAGTGGCAGTGAACCACAGCTCCCACTTGATCAGGGGTGTCAACAACTGACACTCTATGATGTGTTCATTGTGTTAGATGATTTTGCTTAACTGCAGGCTAATGTAAGTGTTCTGAGCATATTTAAGGTATGCTAGGCTAAGCTGTGATATTCAGCAGGCTAGCTGAATTAAATACATTTTTGACATTCAATATTTTCAATTTACAATGGATATATTGTTATGTAACCCTATCATAGGTCAAAGATCATCTGTATACAACTCAATGGTGACAGCACCTTGACTTACTATTTTAAAAAGTTTTTTTTTCTGCTTCTGCTGAAATATTATTTGTCAAAGTAAGGTTACTATAATTATGCTGAAATAATTGTATTTGCAGAGATGCTGACCATTTTTTAATATAATTCTCTTTATCTGCCTGGATGACAACCCTCATGGCCCATCTGTGATGCTTCTTTCTCTGAGAAGCTTTACCTAATGCTATAGTGAAAGTAACCCTCCCTTGGGTATTACACAAAGATCTCCTTTACTCTGTGCTCTCAAAATTGCAGTTATTAATGTTTTTATTTCTCTTCTACTTGCAAGTCCTTTGACAGAAACCTTGCTCTAGGGGGATCCCTGGCAAGATCTTTAACTTGAATATGTATCTGTTCAGTAAATATGATCTGAGTTAATATAACTGCTATGTTAATGGTCTTTTCTCAAAATCATTGTCTTCCTCTTGTTAATGGTCTTTTTTTCTTCTATAGTTAATATTCTAGATTTCCCTTTTATTAAAATATTTCTTATTTAGCAAAAAAATAGCTTGCTCTCCTTGTTTATGTCCTGAACCCCTCTGAAGAAAACCACTTGTGCCCATACTAGAACTATAGTTTACCTATAAAGACTCATCAGGATAGGATCCTGCTCCTTATTTTTCTGTGAGAATGAGTGAGAGAGGCAGGATGGGTGTGGGATAATGGTGCAGGGGGGTTGTTAAATATTCAAGCAAAAAAATCAAAAGAGCTTTTCTTGCCCTCAAGGACATTGAGATCTGTGGTATATCAGTTCAGATATATCTTTGTTTTACATTTACTTTTATTTACTTATTTTTGCTTATTCCATAGTTTTTTAGAAACATTAAAAAAATTAATCTCATCTGATTAAAATAGCAGCAGGAGGGAGATGGAAAGAATTTGAGTACATTTTTTGTAGGACTTAAGAAGGGAGGTCAGAGCAAGCAGACCTTTTGGAAAAGCTTGGGGGTACTGGAAGCAGTTTCTCCACTTGGAAATTTTAGGATAATATGAGCTTTAGGTTTGTGAAGGCTAGGAAATGGCTGAAAATATAGTTTTATCCCCTCTCCATTAGTACATTGAGTTACTTCACCAGGATGCATTAAACTCCACCTCATCTTATAGAGCTGGCATGTTGTTGTATGCTTGACTACACACTCAGCCATAATCTAGGGTGCTGATTAGTTTGTTTCTCAGAGTATGGACTATGAAGCACCAGCAGCGGTAGTACAGGTAGGTTTGTTAGAAAAATAAAATTTCAGGACACTCTCTAGACCTATTAAATCAGAAAACCCAAAAATGGAGACCAGAAATTTGTGTTTTAACAAGCTTTTAGGTTATTCTAATATATTCATTTAAGTTTGAGAACCCATTATCTAAAGATTTCTCAACCTTTACACCATTGACCTTTGGGCCAAAGAATTCATTGTCATGGAGAGTTCTCTTGTGCACTGTAGGATTTTTAGCAGCATTTTTGGCCTCTACTCACTTGGTACCAGTAGTTCCTTTCCAGATTTAACAATCAAATATATCTTCAGATATTACCAAATGCCCCCTAGAGTTCAAATTTGACCCCAGATGAAAACCAAGGTCTAAGATAAGGAGCAGAATTTTAACTCCAACCCCAGGCTTTGTAGAATACTCAGTTAATTGTGTGTAAGTGATCTAATTTGGTCCAATCCAATTAAGCCTAAAGTTTATATCTAGTGGTTGAAAAAGGAGGGGCTCTTTCTTTGTCTGGATGATATGCTACCTTCAAAGCTCAAAATGGTTATTGAATTTTGTTCCATAAGTAAAGCTGGCTCAGGAATAAAGCTGACAAAAGAAACAAAATGATTAAATGAGAGCCAAAGATCAAATCAAATTCATCCTAGAGACTGACCTATTTTTGCATATTTTAATTATATGAACTCAAGTAGCTTTTCCTTTTAAACCAATTGATTTGGAATTTCAAGTTGCTCAAAACTTCTGATATTACTATGATGTCTGAAGTCTTGCAACAGCTTCTTAACAGCTTTTTCTGTTTTCTTTGCTCTTGTTATTCCCCTTTCTCCCCATTTTATCATCCTGCAAATGTGGTTTCTTTCTTCTTTTTAAATAATATCTTTTATTTTGAAATTATAGTTAGTATGCAATATTATATTAGTTTAGGTGTATGACATAGTGATTATACATCTTTAAAACTCATGAAGTGACCACCCCAATAAATCCAGTACCCATCAGATACCATACATAATTATTACAATATTATTGGCTATTTTACTTATGCTATACCTTACATACCCATGACTATTTTGTAACTACCAATTTGAACTTCTTAATCCCTTACCCTCTTTTCACTGACTCCCCCCAAACCCTCCCATCTGATAACACTCAAAATGTTCTCTGTAGCTATGTGCTTGTTTCTGTTTTATTTATTTTGTTCTTTAGATTACACATGTACATGAAATCATATGGCATTTGCCTTTCTCTATCTGACTTACTCCACTCAGCACAATACTCTCTAGGTCCATTATGAAATATCTTTTCCATCCCTTTACTTTCAGTTTGTGTGTGTCCTTTGATCTGAAGTGAGTCCCTTGTAGGCAACATATATAAAGATCTTATTTTCTGAAACATTCAGCCACACTATCTTTTGATTGGAGCATTCAATACTTTTCCATTTGAAGTACTTATTGATAGACATGTAGTTTTTACCATTCTTCATTCATATTTTTATACCTTTTTCTTCTTTTTAAAGAAAATCCCCTAACATTTCCTGAAATACTGGGTTGGTGGTAATGAATTCCTTTAGCTTTTTCTTGTCTGGGAAGCTCTTTATCTGTCCTTCAATTCTAAATGATATCTTGGTTCTAGGTCCTGGGTTTTTATCACCTTGAATATTTTGTGCCAAGCCCTTCTGGTCTGCAAAGTTCTGTTGAGTAATCAGCTGATAACCTTACGGGACCTTCCTTGTAGATAACTAATTGCTTAAAATTCTCTCTTGTATTTAACCTTTGGCATTTTAATTATGATGTGTCTTGGAGTGGACCTCTTTGGGGTTATCTTGTTTGGGATTCTGCACTTCTTGGGACTGTCTGTCTATTTCACTCACTAGATTAGGGATTTTTTCGTTATTCTTTCTTCAAATAGGTTTTAAATCTCTTGCTCTCTCTCTTCTTCTGGTACCCCTATGATGCAAATGTTGATATGATTGATGTCGCCCCAGAGGTCCCTTAAACTATTTTCATTTTTTTTTTGGATTCTCTTTTCTTATTACTATTCTGATTGGATGTCCTTTGCTACCCCATCCTTGAAATCACTGATTCGATCCTGTTTCATCCAATCTGTTGATTCTAACATACTCTTCATCTCAGATATTATATTCTTCATTTCTGACTAATTCCCTTGTATGTTTGTCATCTCCATTTTTATGTTTTCTCTCTCCTTGTTAAAGATCTCGCTGAATTCATTTACTCTTTCTCTAAGTTCATTGAGTATCCTTATCACAAATGTTTTGAACTCTGCATCTCGTAGATTGTTTGTCTCCATTTTGTTTAGCTCTTTTCCTGGAACTTTGTTCTGTCCTTTCATTTGGGACATATTTCTTTGTCTTCCCATTTGAGCTGCCTCCCTGCATTTGCTTCTATGTATTAGTGCTCCTAAGTTCCCCAGTCTTAGTAGAGTGGTTTTATATAGTAGGTGTTCTGTGGGGCCCAGTGGGACAGTCTTCTTGGTTATCTGAACAAGGTGCTCAAAGTGTTTCCCTTGTGTGGTTGTGTTTGCCCTCCTGTTGTAGTTGAGCCTTGGTTGTTGGTTGCACATCAATGAGACAGATTGACCCTTGGGCTGATCAGTTGTAAGGATTAACTAGTGAGAGGCTGACCCTATGGAGAAGGATTCACTTTAGCAGGGTTTTGGTGCCTGTCCAGTCTGCCCTTTGGGTGTATATACCTCTGATGCTGCCCTGGGTGGTGCTCTGGCTCTGGCATTGGTCAAAGCTGACCATCGGGTGTGCCAGGTCAAGGACCTTCTGGGAGGGTTCCAGCTGCAGGCCAGGTTGAGCAACAGCCTGTGCACCTCCCGGGCCACCTGGTAAGAGTCACCAAGCAATCTACAGATGGCTGTCAGCCATACTGGTCTTATAGGTGCCTTGAGAGGCCACGCTAGTAACTGAAGCCGGCTGCCTCTAATGCCAGACTTGGGGCTGCTCAGCAAGAGGTATGGGGCATGCTGAGGCCAGATGTGGCTTTTTGGGGCTGTGTGAGCCCTTGAGAGATTTTAGAAAAGTCCTCAGCATGAGTCAAGACAGGCCATTTGTGTGGAATAAACCACTAGAGGCAGTTTGGTTGGGCCCACAAGTTGGGAGAGACAGTCTCAGAGAATATTCTGGGTGGAGTGACCTGTGTTATCCAGGTTGCTAAGTACTCAGATATGATGGCCTCCTGCATTTGCATGCTGTGAGAGGGCAGAGCTCAACAAAGGAACAATAGATACTGCCAGCACTTCTGTCCAGGAGAAAGCCACTCCTCCAGCCCTAGTCCTGAAGCCTGACAACCTGGTTCTTCCTTGTATGTCCCTGGCACTCTTTATACAGCTATCCCAGTGCTGGAGCTCAGAACAAATGAGTTCATCACTGAGTAAGGCAGAGTAAGGGCCCTTTAAGAGGAATTTCTGTGATTCCCTCAGCTCTCCATCTCACTCAGCCAGAATCTCCACTGGTTTTCATAGCTAGAGGTTGTGGAGACCTCTCTTTCCAGCACTGGAGCCCTACGCTAGAAAGCCCAGCATGGAGCTGGGACTGCTCACTCATCTAGGTGGAGAAGAGGCTCTGCAGCCAAGATAGACCTCCTGATTCTTGACCATCACACACAGTTGTGGGATCAGGCAATTTCATGTCTCCACCCCACCTATTAGTCTCGAGGTGACCTCACATATGTCCCTAGCTGTAGGGTTTTTATTCAGCCAGACCTGAGGCGACACACAGTGATGGCTGTTCTGTTGTGTTGTTGTAATTTTGATGTGATTGTGAGAGGAGATGAGCACAGCCTTTATCTTCTACTCCATCTTGACAGAATCTGAAACGTGGTATTATGGGCTTATAATTTTTCTCTAAATGTACTCACTTTGGAAATCCTTAATTTAACCAATAAATGACTTTCAGAATTATATCATCTGCCTCAAAATATAATGGCTTTTCAATGTTTTTCTGTTGTTGTGAAAGTGTGTGCATGTGTATGTGACTTTTGCTAATATATAAAAGTATGATAGAACAGGAGTTGGTGGAAGATGGCGGACTAAGTAAAAGCAGGGTTCATCTCCTCATAGGTCTGCATTGAAATTACAACCAAATTATAAAATAATCAACATGGAAAATCACTTGAAGTCCAGCTGATGTTAACACCTAAGTCTCATAATATAAAGGAGCCAATCGAAGCCGGTAGGAGGGGCAAAGTCACTAATAGGGCTGGACCCACACCTGCAGTTGTTGGAGGATTGCCGGGAGGGAGAGAGAGGCTGCGGAGGATCTCCTGAAGGAGAGGAGGATCTTGGTCTCATCTGGGGGCTCCCAAGCCAGGGACCCAGCCCCGGGAAGAGGAGATTCCAATAACTCTGACTGTAGAAACCAAAGTGGATTCTGGCTGTCTGGGTGAGATGGAAGGAGACTGAATTCCTAGACACACCTTTGAAGGACCCACGCAACAGGCTTTCTGACCTGTGGACACTCACCCAAGATACTGGCAGTGGGTCAAAGGCTTGTGTGGGATTAATTCTGAGAAAGTCTGCATTACCTGGAACCAGAATGAGGGCTGGAAAGGCAGCCACCATTGTGCCTTAGTCTAGCTCCTCTACAGGGCAATTTATAGACTGAATCACTTGACTGTGCAGACACCTCCCACAGAGCCATTAGGAAGCCTTGGTCAGAGGGTATCGTCCCACCCCACCCAACCTGCAGATTGCCCGGGAAATTTTTTGCTGGGTGGCTGTCAAGCCTTGTTCTGATTCAGAGCCAAACATTCTTAGAGGATGGCCAACCCTGTGAGTTGCTTTTCTATTCTGGGACTCCTGCGGGGAACTTGGGAACAGTTACCAAAATTGTAGCAACACTGAGGCTGTATTCATCTGTCTGCCACTGTCTCTCTGAGAGCCCATCCCACTCTATCCACAAACTTCCCCAGGTAGCGCATTGACAGTGAACTGCTACAGACCTAATTTTTCCCTCCCCTGATCTCCCAATCCACATGGGCAACAAA